TCACGTGGTGGCAACGCAGACTAAGGCTTCTTATCAGGAAGTAACTTCTGAAGAGGTTTTTCTGTGAGTGTCTGTACTTTCCAGTCTTATTCTGATACAGTAAAAAGAGGTAGCTGAAGACAGGCTTTTGGACTAATTAGACTATGCTCTGTTTTGTATTTGAAAAAAAGTTTCTAAATGTAAGCTTTAGTATTATTGTAGTTTAAGTAGGTGACTCCTTCAGGAGGCAGCGTGCTGTGTTTTTTTTCCAACTGTCTTCCAAGTTAACCTTTTCTGGTTTAAGTGTTGCTGATGTTTGAGATTTACTGCTATTTGGAAAATTTTGTGTGAAACTGACTGAGAGAAAATGGTGTTTTTGTTAGTCAGCCTTCGTGAAGTCCTTGGATGTTAAGCCTAATATTCGTTTTATTTCTGTCAGTGGAAAGCAGTTTGGTGCTTCTGATGTCTTCACCTCCTTCTCACCCCCCAAAGAAGTTGCTTTAGTCATGTAAAAATTGCCATCAAAAGATGCCTATAAATGCAAACACAGACGCAGAGCACCTTATTATCTTCTATATCACAACATTGGTAATTAATTTTCATTTTCTATTTAAAAGTGGAGAGGAAATCTATTTCCAGACATCAGCTATTTTCTACTGTATATGGCTTCCTCATGGTGTTTACTCAGGGCACGCTGTGTACCATCTGCATGTGAGTAGTACTCTGCCTTTGTAAGAGTCTGCTCCAGTTTACATAGGATAGTCCTAGTTCCTGTTTCTCCTTTGATAGAGAGACGTTCGGTTTATGTGGGTGCAAGAGGGTCATAATCTCTGGAGAAGCAAAATCATGTGAGATCTTAGTACTTGCAGAAGTAGATAGTATGGGGTTTATGAACTTTTCCATACCTACTGCCCTGACCTGCTCATTCCCCATTACTCCTACTCTTCTCTTTGAAAACTAACCCCATATTCTTCATCCTTTATTGCCCTGTCTCCATTAACTGTGCTCCCGTGTTCTTCTCCCACTTCCATATTTTCAAATTTTGCTTCCCAAAGTTGTAAGAATATGTAGGTATTACAAGAACTACCATGAGTTCTCTTTTCTTTCTAGTTAAGCTTTGCTACCTCACTGATCAAAAGTGCTTGCTCGAGACAGTTCTGCAGAGAAGTATTAACTTGTTAGCATTAGGCTTTGTGTCCCTCTTAACTGGTAACTAAATAATCCATGGGGCACCAGGGCTACATCTGTACTAATAATTAATAAAAATTAAACAAAGGAGTTAGTTTCTGGCTTGGTGGCCACCTGCTGTGTCATGGGTTATGTTACAATGAAAGTGTTTTTAACCCCCTCCCTACCACACAGAGGTGGGAATGTCCCTGCCTCTCTCTGCTTGTCTGTGCCCTATGCCCAAGCATTTGTCAAGGAAAGTACTACTTTCTTGGGCCCAAACCGTAGCAAGGACCATGTGAAGGGTCTAACTGTATGTAAGGCTGTGTGGTCCAAAATTCAGGCGCACTGCCAGACCCTGCTTTACAAGTAAAGAGGTAGCCAGGTTCTCAGCTATTTAAGGCTCTGCATTGTGAGGGAAGAGCCCGAACACCGTTCTTCTGTTGGGATCTTACAGTGATGTTTGTGAATCAGACCTTGCTGTTGTGTGCAGCTTCTACGAGACAAATAGCCCAACTCTTTGCCTCTGCAATGCAATTGTATTTTTCTCTGGAATACCACTGAAGGTGAGAGTTTGCAGATTTACTATTAACATGAGGCTCATGGCAGAAACAGCTGAAGGTCGAAACACACAGTTTCTGAGGGAGTGCTGCTTTCACTTAATTGTATGTTCTTTCACCAGGGAAAAATACTGAACAAATGTATTTGGTCTGGCTGAAATGGAGTTAATTTTCCACATAGCAGCCTTCATAGTGCTGTACTTTGTATTGGTAGCTAGAAGGGTGTTGGTGACACACCAGTGTTATGGCACAGCGTTAAGGCTGTCTCTCCAGCTTTCCTCCCTCACCAGTAAGTTGGGAGGTGGGCAAGATCTTGGCGGGGGACATAGGCAGGACAGCTGACCCAAACTGACCAAAGGGATTTTCCATACCGTACCATGTCTTAAGCAGTAAGAGAGAGAGACAGGAGGAGGAGTAGGGATATTTATTATTATATTGCTTGTCTTCCAGAGCAACCTGAACTCCTAATTCCCAGGAAGTGGCTGGATATTGCCTTCTGATGGGAAGTAGAGAACAAACATTTTGTTTTCCTTCACTTCCATGCGCGGCCTTTATCTTTACCCATGAGGTTTTGTTCCACCTTATTTTCTCCCCATTGTCCTGCTGAGGAGGGCCGTAATAAGAGTTGCTTGGTGGGCACCTGGAGTCCAGTCAAGGTCAACCCAGCACAGCACTCTGCTGCAGCACTGGCTCACCCTCTTTTGGGAAGTCCTCATGGTCTGTGTCCATTCAGGAAAGCAGTGTTCCACACAGGGGCTACTATGATCTCCCCTATATGAGAAGGATAGAGATGATCCAGTTGCCAAGTTCTTCTTCCTCTGTAAATCATCAGAGCCTCTGTCTGTTGATTTCTTGATGAGTCCCTATCAGATGATCAGATTTCTGCCAGTTGACTTTGTTTCCAAGGCAACCACTCTCTTGACAAGCCAGTTCCCTTCAATAGTAGGTAACTTATTTTTTAGAGTAGGTTGATTACATTTTAACTGCATAGTTCTTAACAAGATATTGGTGCTTAAGTTTCAGCCTTGCACGCAAGTGAAAAGGTAACAAAGAAGCAAAAGCCTCTGTAGCTAAAATGGAGTTGGCACCGTAATAAAAGATATGTAGAGGGATTTTATTACCTTCACAAAACTCATAAATAGTACATAATTCCTAAAGATAAGCCTGCTCACTGGTCATTTGCATTTTCGGTTGTGTTCAGTATATTCTGTTTTTTTGAAAATAATGAGAGTTCCAGTTAAGCTGTTTAACTTATGAGGATGCTTCCTGAAAGTTCAGATAGTTCTGTAAATACCAGCAATCTGCTTTCCTACTCGCATAGGCCTCTAAACTGGGTGATACTGGTATTTAAAAGAAATAGGTTCCAACCAACATTTTTTTTTTTTACACAGTTCAGACTTTGACGTGGTCTTGCCCTTCATCTCATGTATGCGGTGTTTCTCTCTGATAAGTGTTCAGGTTACCACATCCTTTGCTTCTGTCTTTTCTATTCATCTACTTTTGTTTCCTGCAAAACCTGTAGGATTGTCTTTGTTGAGGTTTCTTAGATTCAGCCTTTGGGTTTATATTTTGCAGGAAGATGTCCTTGCAGGCAGGATATAGTTACAAAGCTCTTTTTTTCTGAGGAAAGCAAACTCAAACATCTGTATTCATATAGGTAGATAGCGCCATCATGCCTATGTAAAATTATGAATAATCTGATTTTGTAATATATCTGGGTTAGCATGAGGTGACTGAGTTTGTTTTTCTCTTGCTTATCTAGTGTCCTTTCAGGTTGTAGTCTTGATTTCAGGGATGGATGAATCTTGTACAATAATTACTTAAACATCTGAAGTTTGTAGGACAGGTTATTTGCATAAATGGAAGCAAATTTTGATTTATATTAATAGGCTGAACTTTGTTTAATGTGTGCTATAGAAATCCTCTTTCTTACAAATGTCAGTCTGTTATTTTTTTTACTATTTTTTTTAAGCATTGCTTCCCCAGCAAGGTAGAAATTGCCTTGTATGAACTGAAATAATCTCCAGGTAGTTTGTGTAGGCATTTGGATTTTGGAATGCTTAAATTCTCGTGTTGTAAAAAGAAAGCATTATTCACTGTTAGTGATGTTCATGAAGCAAGTGATCCTTTGTAATGTGATTGCTTGGGAAATTTTTGACTGATCATAGTGAGCTATCCAGTCCCTTTTGTAGGGAAGTGATCTTATAAGAGCTTTGTCTTTTATTCTGTCTCCATCTGTTGATAGGATGACTTACATCTTCTGTCTGGACTGGCAGACAGGATTTAGGCGCCAATCCAGCAAACCACTTAAACAACAGTTTAGCTTTAAGCCTTATAGAAACTAAACAGGTAAAAAAAAAACCAAACAAACAAACCACAAACACCAAAACTGAAGAAAAAAAACCTCACTGCTAGTGCACAACTGTTATCTTTAGAAGGAAATTTAGGAGTTTAGGTTTTATTGGTACATGAACTATAAATAGAATAAAAAGGGTTAAACATACACAGAATAGAAAAGGTAGATTAAGGGTCTTTAGTACAGAATTTAAAGGAGGAAAGATCCCTGTTTAATAGCAATGACAGTCTTTATCTGGTGTATTTCTTTAGGTCAGTGCTGCTTGAGTGTGTACCTAGGCAAATAGAATAGGTTTATCACAGATATATGTGGTAAGTTTCCTCTGGCCCAACCAGCAAGAATTACACGCTGTTGCTTTACAAAGAAATGACAACATACCTTTTTCTTGTACTAACAGAATTAGTGACCACTACTCAACAGTAGTTCACAGGCAAACCTGGATATTCTAATGTTTACATTAAAAGTTGCTGAAGTGTTTGTTTCTTTGCAAATTATTCTCATAATATCTTTCAAAAGTGTTAATTCTATCAGAAGAAATCACCGTCCTTGTGAATGGATGAACTTGCAAGTTTTAAGCGAGTTGAATTTATATTCATTTAATAAACTGATGATAAACCAAACATTTGTTCTGAATTTAGTTCAGCTTTCAGATTTATTGTACAAGTGCAAATGCTTTAGGTTTTGTGTTCTATAATAGTGACCTCTTGTGGTGAAAATATGTCAGGATTTCTGGTGAAGCTTTCTGTAATATATACTGGAGGAAGTTGTATTTATTATCATTTTTAATGAGTAGATAACCTACTAACGTAGTAAAATAACGTATAATCTTCTAAAATTAGTTACTAATATGCAGATCTCATACTGAGTGCATATGAAGGAAGAAGCATTTTGAGCACTGTATTCTAATATACATTGTGTGTCTCTACTGTATCTTTTAGTGAGCAGATGAAAAAGCCAGGCACAAGTCCGTCATGGCCAAGAAGTACAGGCTGGAAGGGAAGAGAAACAGGTACTTCATAAGGCATTTCAATCTCCAGTTGAAAAAATATGTGAATTACAGTGAAATAGAAAGATCTTTTTCTTCCATATTTACTGAGCAATATTTTTGGTTTTCTCGGTGTATGTGTTTTTTTTAGCATTATTGGAAAAGAGAAACAGTATTCAAGAGATCTTGACTCAAAATTGGTTGCTTTTTTCCCCTCTTATTTTACTCATATGTAGACTTAAGAATTTGCCAGTTTGTTAACACCTTGTTTGCCCATTGCTTTTTGTAAACTGGCGTAGTTGCACAGAAACTAGTGAAGTCATGCCAGGCAATATTGTTTGAAGATACAGATTCTGCATTGCCCTGTAGGGATGCATTTTGCTGATTTTACATAACAGATTTTAATTAATTTTTCTTCATAGCTAGCACATTTCATACATGGCAAGTGCCTATTTGAGAGTCTGGTATGGAAAGCTGAAGTTTCTGCTCTGCTATTATTATGCTTTATTACTATTCTTCTAGAACTAAGAAGATGCATTATTCTGGATCATTCTGGCAAAGGCTGAGAATATTTACATGTCATGGGAGTTAGTATTCTGTGGGGCTGTATTTTCTCTCTTTATAGGTCTTTTAATTTATTTGTGCTGTTTTATTGGTGCTATTGAAAATATAATATGTATTATTAGGATTGTTTCTTTTTTATAACATTACGTAGCTTCCTTAGTTTGTGCATACCTCATCTTTAATCCCAGAATAAACAGTGGGATAGCAGTGGGAATTCTCAATCATTTCTTCTCTATAGTTGGGTCCTGGGGGAGCGTTCATTTTCAGATTATTTCTATTTTCTGATATGATTTATGTTTATACTTTCACATTTTAAAGAGGAGGTAGACTGGTTTAATATAGATATATTCATAGCCACTCAGTATTCCGTGAAAAGGCTAAACGTGATAAGTCAGGCAGTACACAGCTTTGGAAAGCTCAGTGTTGCTAAGGCTCTTGTATTTACATGCTAAAAACAGCAACCAATAAATGTAGACTGATTAGTGACTTTTTTTTTTTTTTTTGACCAGAATGCAAAGCTGTGGTTAAGACCTTTGAAACACTGAGACAACGAACTTCAACTTGCTGAATTCTTTTGCTTGAGTATTTTTGCTGTTGAGTTGTGATTCACTCAATTAGAAAGTTCAGGGCAGCTTCTGCAATATTTTAAATACAGCTAATGCTGTAACTTTTCATCAGCACCTTAAAAATCTCCCAGGACTGAGCCATGTGCAAGTTTACAATTTCTTAATGTTGCCTTTTTTCATAATAATGTATTTTCTGATTATTCTTATTGCTAGGATTAATATTTTTTAGTAAAAGCTGATTGTGTTTATTTTCCTAATTACAACAAAAGCCGTTACAACTTTTAGGTTGCTATATTTTTCTGATGAATGTGAGACAAGTGCAGCAGTGGCACAAAAAAATCAGTTCTTATAGTTCTGAACTAAAAATTGAATGGCTTTGTTTGTTTTTTTTTTGTTTGGTTGGTTGTTTTTTTTTATTTTTTTATCTAGTAAGGAGTGTGGTCGTATGTGCAAATGCATACGTGAGTTATTCTATTTCTTGCTTAGTAAGGTTAAGCATGTGCGTACTTAGAAAGTGAGTCCCATCTTTCAGTTTGAGAGGTAGCTACAAATTGGAAAGAAAATAAATAATTGAGTCAATACGTGGGTTTTGTGGCAGGCAGGAACAGAGCAAACTATTCTAGTGTTCTCACTTCAGCTGTGCTCTTATATTATCCAGAGCAGAACTTTCACTTCATTGTCAATGCTGTGTAGTGTTTTATTAATTAAGCTACTCATTGATCTAAATACGACTATTAACTCTCAATCTAGAAAATGGAAAAGGTCTGCAAAATAAGTAATATTACCTAATAACATGTACACTAATATGTATATATGCACAAACCAATAATTATAGTTATTGTAATAACATACTTACCTAGTTATTACTTATGAAACAGCAGCATTTTTGTATAATTTGATGAAATAGATACAATTGATAGATTAATTCTGTGTAAAATATAAGTAGACAGTTAAAGGATTAAGTTAATACAGTCTGGATTTTTTTTTTTTTTTTTTAAGAACAAGTTTTCAAATAGGAAGGTTTTAATTGTTTCAGTATTCCAAGAAATAACTCAGTAATTTTTTCAAGTTCTGAGACTGTTCTCATGATGCAAACCTCTGAATGTCAGTGTTCTCATGCAGTACAATATTTTTTGTGTTAATGGTTATATTAAGAATTTACATTGTCATTTAAATACAAGAGCTAGTAATGAACAGTAGGAGACACTTTCTTCTGACAAATCTGTCACTTAATGTATTTTGTATTAACTATATTCTAGTCTTAATGGTTTTCTTCGTGTTATTTAGTGGAGCTGTGTGACTCTTGCTTCCTTATTCAAAAAACAAACAAAAAAACAAACCCCATCTTTATAACAACAACTTTGGTTGCCTGCAAGATAAGGAGCTTAACCTAATCCTGAACTCCAAAAATATGCCTGCATACACCTTGTAAGCACTTGTTAGATCCTTTAAAACTCGAGTTGTACAGAAACTCTGGCTCCGTAGTGGGCCAATGGGCAACACCAGGATTCTGCCACTTCACATAGTGCCATGTGAATGTGAAAAGCATGTTCAGCAAATTGAAATAATTCCCAGTGATTACGAGGGAAGCATGCATTTTACAAAATTTAGCTAAGAAGTTCTCAAAACTAATTGCATGAAGTGATTAGAATTTTAACAGGATGTAATAACTAAGAAGATTGTTTTTTCTCTAACTGACCAGAGTCTCAGTTAGTGAAGCTTAATGTAACATTGTGCATGTGTCCTAGATAAAATTGTGCGATCCTGGAGGATTGCCTGTACTACAAATGTCTTCTAACACAGAATAAGTTGTCATGTGGACACAGAGCTGAAAAGTAGGAAGACATGTTGATGTAAAAGTAGTCATTACCTTCTAATTCAGCAATCAAATGAAACAACATCAGTAAACAAAACCAGATCTGGCTTTACAGTACAGCTTTACTACATATCACAACATTTATCCATCTAGTTTTGTTAGAAACTTGTTTTTGAGAAAAGGCAAATAAAAAAAAAAGCTTGAAGAGGTAGAATAATCTAGAATATAGCAAAAATGTGACATTTTTTGATTATTTCTTTTTTCTGACTGATGAGTAAAGTATTTGTAGCTATTCGTTTGTGTAGAAGTTGAAACCTTTGCTGAATATGTGCTTTTGTTTTGAATGTATTTTGTAGGCTTACAAGTTGAAATGGGAATAAAAGAATCACAAGAGGAAGAAATCTTTTGGCATTTAAAGATTCTACCAATTCTTCATGAACTGGAAAAAGGTAGGTAACTGTTGTTGAAAAGGTGTATTTTCTGTACTATTTCCTGTAGGAAACATGGGACTTATTTGCGTTTACTACAAAAGAATAGCAGTAGTTGAACTATGTAGCCGTTTATGCTTTCATATGTTCTGTGACTTTGCAGTCTAAAACTGGCCTGGACACCTCTCTCTGGTTGGCCCTGGTTGAGCAGGGGGTTGGACTGGATGACCTCAGATATCCCTTCCAACCTCAACCATTCAGTGATTCTATAAAAAAAATAAAATATAGTACTGGTTTAGAGAAAATCTTGTCTTGTAAGACAAGAAAGAAAAAAACCCTGCCCCAAATCTCTTGAATTTTAAAATTAGGCAAGACTTTTTCTTTTTCCTGTAAAGTGAACATGTACGTGATTGCATGGTGTTGAGATGCAGATTTGTAATAATTTACTGCAGGTTTTATTTTTGTATTTTTTAAGTAGTGTCTGAGGGACTCTGGTGAAGAGGTAGATGACTTTCTTATCAATAGCCAAACAGTCCACTCAGATAGATCTTGCACTTCTACTATTAATTGGAAAGTTCTAATAAATTATTACATTCACTTTTTCTTAATCTCAGCAAGGTTTCACGTATTAGCTTATGCATGTAGGCAGAAAAATATTCCTTAACTGCTGCTTTTTCACATGACATGTTTGGTGGAGCTCTTTAAAGAATATGTTCAGTAACAGTTTCCTAATAGATATTTAGTCAGTGTGATTATTAAGCATTAAAGGTGAGTTTCATTTTAGGTTTAGGTATCATTTTGCCATTGTGATTGCTTGGCTCAAGTTTTTTCTTTTTGTAAGAGCAGAAAAAACGTGTTTCTGAGAATCACATCCTTTTAAGAGATTCATTGGGTGCCTTATTTTTGTTGATGTGCCACCCATTCTTTCTTTTGTTCTTCTGTTTCTTTGTCTATTGAGATGTTCTGAAAAAGGTTGTACTGATATTTATTATTTTATTTTTGTCTCCCTTCCCATTCCCTTCAAATAGAAGACAATGTAGAAAATCTTTGTCTGGCTTGCACCAAGCTCTATCAAGCCCTGGATGAAGAAAATATGCTTGGAAAAAGATTTAAAAGAAGAAATATGCTTCTGAAGATATTATATAAACTTGTAGACATTGATTCAGACCCACTTTGCCTAAAGCTGGCAAAGATTATTCTGTCTGTAAGTGTTTCTGAATGTTGTTTGTTAGAATAGGAAGTTCAAAATCATGAACTACAATTTGCATGTAATTTTCACTTCATACTTTTAAACTGTGTCTATAAACTAATCCTTTCCTAAGCACAATTTCTTGCCACACAGATACTAGGCTCCTAGTCATCCAGATCAACACTTGTTGGAGCCTGTTTTTTGCAAAGACATTGCATCTGTGGGAGGAAGGATATACATAAAATAGAATAACTGGTGCATATTGGTAGACATATTGCTTAGGCATGGAAAAGGGACAGTGTCCTAAGCCGGGATACGCATGCAGGGATTTAAACAAAACAATAATTAAAAAAATTACACATGAAAATGAATCATAGAGTCATAGAATGGTTTTGATTGGAAAGGACCTTAAGATCACCTAGTCCCAACCCCCTGCGATGGGCAGGGACACCTTCCACTAGACCAGGTTGCTCAATGCCACATCCAGCCTGGCCTTGAACAATTCCAGGAATGAAGCTTAGTTTTTTAATAGCATCTTGACCATATTGAACATGTTTATTTGAACATGACAAAATTGTTCTTTCAGAAAGAAGGTATAATTATCTATTTTCTCTAGTATTTCCTCTTAAAACTCTCAGTTAATTGGTACTCTTGAACCTATTGGTTCAGCTTCTAAGTATGTGTGGACAGTCCCTGGTGAAAGGATGCTAGCTAGCACAATATGTGTGTGTGTGTGTGTGTTGGGGGGAGGGTATGTGTTTCCTCTAAAGGTATATATGTTATTTATATCAGAAGATATAAATTTAGATACCACATAGATGTCAAGTGGTGCTTATTAAAAAGTACTGTCACAGACATTTTTCTGTGGTATGTTTTAAAATCATCAACAAGATAAAAAAATTGTCCTTTTCATGATCTCTCAACAACCATTAGTACATCATAATACTGTATTTTCTGAGGTTTGAGAACAACTTTCATTATGACATGTGTTGTTGCACTGGAGTTCCTTATGCATGTCCATTGATACGAAACCAGTGAATATGTGCAGAATTTCTTTGTAAGAATGAATTACAGAAAAAAATCTACAAGTTATTGATATACTGCAGAGAATACATTAAAAGTTTTTATATCATCTGTTATTTTAAAGTCAGCCAGTACAGTTTGCTAAAGAGATCTTAAACTAGCTAGGTTTCAGAGTCCTTTAATTCTGCAAACTTGGCAGTTTGGCTGAGTGTGCTGTCAGGGTTTTGGTTGGAATTTAGTAGTTCTGTGAGAATACAAGTTTGCCATGGTGTTTGAACTTGTAAAATGTTATGGTACTTTTTTGTATGTAGATCTTGGTTGTGATTTTTATGTGCTTTACATTCTTTACAGATGAAAGTGGATGGAAAAAATCTTCTCAGTGTTTGCAAGCTTGCATTTAAAATTTGCAGGAATGAAGAAAATGATTACATCATTCAAAATGATGGTTTGTTGGGTATGTATTTGTTCTTGTATATAAGTTAGGTGTTGGAATGCAGTAGTCAGATCTTTCAAGAAACATTCTCAGAGTTAACTTAGTCATGCATTAAAAGTTGCTTACTAGGTCAAACTAACAGTCCATCTAGTCCAGTATTCTGTGTCTAATGATGGGGACAGGGAATGCTCGTTAGGGAGAGTGTGGAAGCCCACGTATTTTCTTTGATCCATTTCCCTTGTACTATCATAGCATCTAGAATTGTTATGTTGTATTAGGGACATTAGATGGTGCACCCTTGCCTAATCCTTCTGAGCTTCTGTTTATAGACCTCTTGTTCATTAATTTGCCTAATTCCTTTTTGAACTTTCTGCTTCTGTCTGTCTCTACAATCTCATAGAGCAGTAAGTTTCAGAAGTTCTCTGTCTGCTGTTTCAAACCTATCTACTTTTCATTATGCCCTTGCTTGTAGCTTTGCATGATTTAGAAGAGTTTCTACAGTCAGCTGACCTTCCACCTTCATGATTTGGTAACCTGCACTCTTATCGCATATCTTTGCCTTCTCCTTTTCAGACTTGGGCATCTCAGCCTTTTAGCTGTCTCTTTAAAAGAATATTGTGTCATTCTCTTGGTTGTTTTAGTAGCACTTTTCTGTAACTTCTCCAACTCCAGCAGATCCTTCTTGAGATGTACAGAACAAAGCTGTCCACAGAAGTCAATGTGTCTGCACCAATTTTTATACAAGTGAAATAATGCTGTCTGTAGTGTTGTCCATCATCGGGAAGGGTATTGAGAACAATCGTTGCCTTTTTAGCTGCCTCTGCATGTTTAGCTGATGGTTTGGGAGAATTGGCAACAGTGGCTTTAGGATCTCTTTTGTTATTGTAACTGCATTTGTATCATACACACACACCTTACAAATAGCAGGAAAATGACAGTCTATGAATGATACTCAGTATCAATTGGTGGTCATTCCTTTCATTAAAACTTCACTATGTTTTATTAATGTAGGCTTTGATTTTGCAAATAATCTTTTTTTTTTTTTTTTTGTAGCATGTGCATAAGTTAAAGCATATGCGTATATCTGCTTAAATAGCTGAGAGTATTCACGGTCTTAGAGTTTAGTATATAGGTGTTGTCAGAGATAAAGACCAGATAAACCTTTCCAGCAGTAAGATCAACAGGAAAGGACTTGGAGAGAAGAGAACAGCCCAGGTTGCTCAACTGACTTTGAATACTGAGAACTACAATTTTGTAGAGATGAGCATCATACAAAAATCTGAACTAGCTGAGTGGCTGTCTGTTTAAGCACTGGGTTTTTTGATCTCATTTCCATGTTTACTCACTTTTCTTTCACTTGCTCATCTTTCCCTGAATTTTAAAACTAGTGAAGGAAAGATGCTTTTGGTAGGTGTTTTCTTGTTTGTTTATTCAGTCTCCATTTTTGACCCACCTTATCCAGGCTGAAGACATGGACCTCATCATAATCTGGGTTGTCATCATAATCAAGATTCCTTATATTCAATTTATTTTTGTTTCTCTGGCCCTGTGAACCATTTATGTGCATCTGGAGCAGCTTGAGAAGAAGAAAGAAATTAACTGTTTGTTCTAAAATAAACAACTACTGTTCAAGACCCAATTTGATACTGAGCAGAACAGGAACCTGATTTCTCACATTGCCACAGCCCAATTGATTTAGCTGACCACTAGGCATTTGATGAAAGTGGGAGTTGGAGCAAGAGCCTAGAGTGTGTGTACGTCAACCATATACACCCATGTACTTGGAGAAAGTTTCAGCTTGAGTTGAGACTGAAAAAACTTTAGAAATCTGTTCAGTTTAATGAGGTGGGAAAATGTTATTCAGCTGAATGGAACACAGGAAGCAGAATTAAATATCAATCAGTTACTAGAAATTCAAAATTAAAAAATGGGATAGGATTACTTATTGAAGATACACCTACCAAATTCAGAATGTCTGTTTGACTGTGAAAGATACATTGAGCTTATGATAACAGCTGTTAATTTTAACATTTCAAATATCTGACAGTGGTAGCATAAAGCAAAACCTTTACAGTAACTTTACCTACATAGAAAGTAAATCTAAAAAGGGTATGAACAGACTTCAGATGTGAGATTTGAGGTAGGCACCTATGCTTTTTAGTGCTTCATTTGAGATGTTGAAGACATTTGATTTTTAAGAAAGTAGTAGAATAAACCTCTCAAGAATGTCTGAAGTTTAGTACACAAAATTACACACACACACACTCGCTTTTGCAAATCTTGACCGAGATTTTCAGTGATTACTCCTATGTGTGTAGCATAGCAGTGCAGGTTCTTGAAGCCTGAGAGAACAAAAGTCAGGCCCATTCTCTTGTTTGTCAGTAATGGTTTCCTGGTTTCAATCCAAATGCCCAAGTTTTCTGGCCCACTTATTAGAAATGTAACAGTTCAATCTGAGGTTTTTTTCCAGTTATAAATCTCTTCAGTAACTTGACTGTATCAAATATTAATATTAGGCTTTCTGAACAATTATTTTCCTTTTAGATTGTTTGTTGGAGGTTCTGAGAACTGAAGATCTACAAAAAAACAATGAAGCTCTCTTGTATTGCATGGGAGCTATAAAATTCATGTCTGGAAATGCAGTACTCCTTAATGAAATGGTGAAAAAAGGAGCTGTTGAAATGTTGCTGCAATTAATGAAGCAGATTAATAATATAAAAGAAAATGACAGATATTTCTCCAACTTGGGGCACCTATTAGTACAGGTTAGCATTTACTTTTATTTCTAAAAGTACACACTTAAAAAGTAAATTCAAAATTTAATTAAAGGTGGTAAGATAACCCTGTGTGCCACAGACAGAGTTGTACCTGTATTTGAATAGTCTTTAAGAAGTTTATATGAAGTTGTTCATGACCTAAATTTAATTATCATAGATATTTTTGTGTAGTCAATTTAAAGGCTTTAGAAATTCTGAAGTTAACAAATATTTTTATGTACATAATAAACCAGTTTCTTCTTATTACTTTATGGTGCTGTTAATATTCAGGATATTATAGTAAACAGATAAAAATGTGTTCCCTGTCTAAATTCTTTAAACTGAAATAGTAAATACAAACTGGTTTTACAATACTTTGGGAGGTGACAAAACACTTTTTATTACAAGAATAATATATTTCAAAGAATGCATAGGAAAATATAACTGACAAAGTCAGTTTCTCTGACAAAGTGTTTTTGAAGAACTGATTTAAGGAAAAGGTATCTGTAAAAGCCAACACTTTTTGAATAATTTTGAAGGCAGCAGGCTCAAAACTATCTTTTCACATATAAGATACCTTGATGAGGTAGTGGATGCGATGTAGCTAAATCTTAAGGTATGTCTAGGATGCAGGGTTTTTTTTGTATTTGTCAAGGATTTGGCAGGTAGATTTCTGGCATTTGTTGTTGAAATTATTGAAGTAAAGAACAGTGAATGATGTAATTGTAAAGTTTTGGGGGACTTCCTAGGAAAACACACTGAACAATTTACTGAGGTCATGTTTACATTCAATTTCTCTACTAATTATGCCAGGTTTTTTTTCATTCTCTGCTAACTTGCAAGGGGTTTTATGCTACTTGAAATTATATGAGAAAACAGCTTACGTCATCAAGTTACTATTACTGGTTTTTGTCTATTTATTTTAGTGGAGCTATGAGGTGTGTCTCTCGAGGATAGTCATAAACCAAACAAACTGGGATATGCTAGAAAGTGCTGAATGAAATGGGAGATGCTAGAAAACGCTGAATGAAATGATGTGGCTTAGTACGTACGTTTGGCTAAGAAAGTCCCAAAGTGGCAAATTGCTGAAGAATGGAAGAATATGTGATGAGACTGGAAATTTTGTGCTTGTCATGTTCCTGTTTTCTTTCCTATGTGGTCCTGTCATCATTAAATTCCTATATAAATCACAAAATTATCTTTTATACACTTCTGTCTTTAGAATTGGGAATGTTAACTTTCTTGTGGCACTGTGAATTCTCCAAACAGTTCTTCCCCTGAAAAATGGTAGATTGAGATTAGGAATAAGTTCTTTACTGTGAGGGTGGTGAGGCACTGGCACACGTTGGCCAGAGAAGTTGTGGCTGCCCCATCCCTCACAGTGTTCAAGGCCAGATTGGATGGAGCTTTGAGCAGCCTGGTCTAGTGGAGGGTGTCCCTGCCCATGGGAAAGGGGTTGGAACGAGATGATCTTTCAGGTCCTTTCCAACCCTAATCATTTCATGATTCTATGATTTATAAAATCATCTATAGTAGTGCAGATATTTAATTTTTCTTCTTCCTGTGAGGAAAGCAGTACTTCCTGCTGCTATGTGACTTTTTCGTATCAGTTTCTTTAACAAATTTACATTAATGTGCACCATTTCTTACATGTGAGTTAATTGTTCAGTTCTTATAGACAGGCATGGGAATAGTTCTGCCTTCAGGTATATAGTATTGAAGAAGGTTTTGTCTGTGATTTATGTTTTCTGAATAAAGGAAATTTTTGTGGCATACTTTAACTTGTAGCGAAAGATCAAATATCCAGTGGCATACAGAAAATAATGAATAAATACAAGTCTTCAGGAATAAAGAGAAAATCATATTGGAGGAGAAAACACCTTAAATAGTCATAGTGGTCTCTGAGAGAGGCTCTGCCATCTTTTAATGCTGGTGAGTGAAGGAGCTCAGTTAACTGGTACCAACTTTCTGTTCTTTAACTGCATAATTGCACAATCACCAGATGGCAGTGTTACACATAATCTTGCCAGGTCCTTTTTGTGGGAACAAACTGATTTCTTCAGTGTTACTGAACAGATTTTATGTAGAAATTCCACAATACAAGAATAAAAATGTTTGTAATAATAATAATTATTTTTCCTTAAGAGAGGACATGAAACCAAGGTCATTTTTGACTCATGTTATGTTGCTTCACTTAATAGTCTGATTATATTTGTATGAACTATGGTAATGCTTATTCAAAAGCCAAGGCTTTTGAAGTGTTGCTGACAAGACTTAACAAGTATTCCATGTTCTTTAATTGAAAAGCACTTAAATGTCTTCTCCTTTAAAAATAGCATTTGTCTGCTGTGAAATTTTTCTCTTTGGGTGAATTTGATCTTTTGCATGGCAACATAAGGATTAGGGCTGGTGAGGATTACTAGAGCCAATTGTTATGCATTTCTTCCTGAATCATGGCATCTGCTTGAAGGAATCAGAGTATCTCTGGAATTCACTTGCTGTCTGGCTAGTTTCTATTAGTTTCTTAATGTGTACTCTTCAAATTTTACTTGCGTACTAGCTGTTCTTTTGAATTTCATTGTCTCGCACATTTAAATGTATACATTATTTTGCATTGCTTTTCCTTTCCAACTTTTTATTGCAAAGTTCAGCTAGACCTCAAGAAGTATCATCCTAAGATGAATGTGAACGTCTTGTATGTATGTGAGCACTGAATGGAGTCTTCCGTGTCTATTCCATTTGGCAGGAGTTCGTCCATTAAAACTTCTGAATAGCGAAGTATATATTGGAACATTTTTATTTTAAAATATTTCCCCGGTATTGTGTTGATATTTGAAGCATTATGACTTGTGTTATGCTTGTGAATGCATATCTAGAAATGTATTTTTTACAGTTGTTCAGTTAAAATAACAAGAAACTCCAGGTGTCTTTGTAAAGTATGCGCAATATGAAGCAAATGGCTTCCACTGATTCAGTTTCTGTTTATTCTGAAGATAATATGCATTTCATATTTAATTCTAAAGCTAAATCCATTTACGTATCATGTTCACATTATACCACATTTTTTTCCCCCCTCTGTACCTTGCTTCTCTCATTTTGACACTGTCCCTTCTCCCATTCTTCCATCACAGAACATTGAGCAGTAACTGAAGACATATACACTTTTGTCAAATTTGTTGAAGCAGGACAGTGAATATTAAAACAGTTTGAGAATGGGCTGAGTAGTGCATAGAATCCTATGAGGAAAAGCTCCTCAAACACAGCAACTTAACCTTCTCTTTGCCAGATTTTTCCTTTGAAATTAATAATTACATGTAACTGGACAGGAGGTCCAATTCAGTGATAAAATACTTAATTTCCAGAGGGTTTTTTGTGATAACAAAAAATTTAAACAGCTTTTGCGTCTTATCAGACTACATTTAAAACCAAATTGAAGTTAAATAACTTACTCCTAGAATAAAGAAAATGTGAAAAATTCCCATATTCACAGAGATTAAATGGCTTCACGTTAATTTTATAGTAAATTCTGGTTTAGATCAACCATTAACTTGCATGTTGTTGCCTGTCTGACCTTGGCATTTGAATACCCTTACCTTGGAAGGGTAACATCTAAAAATATGCAATAGATTATTCATTTTGCATATATCTAGCCTACAAGTGATTAGATATTTAATGCTTAAAATGCCTTGAAATAGAACAATATCGTCTGAAAATATTTTGTTTTCTCCAAAATAAACTTGAGGACTTTAGCTTTTCATTTTTACTGTTCAAATAGTAGATTTGTTTTGATTAATTTCTAAAATTTTAGATCACAATAAATATTGTTGCCTTTTAAAATAAATTCATCTTACAGTTATTATCAAAATATATATATTATCAAATATATAATACATAGTTATGTATGCTATATATAAATGATATAAAGCTGATATATATATCATATATAATATGATATTATATATCATATGATATATATATACAATGTATATATTATCAAAATATATACAAAGGATTACTTTGTAAGACTTAAATGTAAATTTGCAAATTTGGGCATTATGCAAAAAGTCACTTTATGGACAACATTTAACCTAATTTCGAATTGGTATATGCTCATATAGATGCATACAAGATTTTAAAACATATGGAAGATCATGTTTCCCTCAGAGAAGGAGGCTACATGCAGGCAAAGACCAGTATCAAGCTTTCATTTTCAAGCACTTAATATACACAATTTTGTTACTCACACATTTCCTGTTACAATTTATTGGTAGATAGGTCCCTGCAGAATGTCAGCAGAGCATTCAGACTGCCTTAGACATTACGTGTTAGACGTGAGCTTTATTAAATTTTCGGAACAGCATGGATTCTGCTGTAAGCGGCTGTGATTAATATATCTTCAAATATTGTGTTTGCAGCTGACAGCTACATTGCGAAACTTGACTGACTTGGCTCCGGTGAGACGCCAGCTCATTCGCAGTGGTGCAGTCTCTGAGCTCTGTGTGGCGCTAGAGCAGCGCTTGAGGGATAAGGATGTGTGCACCTACCTTGTCAGGATATTCAGGTATGTGTAGAACGCAGTCCTATTTCTTCATGCAGTCAAATTGGTGTTACTGCTTCGAGTGACCCCGCTAAAATTGGAAGATTTACATTGAATTGTTTTCTTAAAAACTCTGTGTAGATTTTTTTAATGATTTTGTACAATAATTGTGTCTTTATTAATACTGATAGAATGGTTTAATTATAGCCATACAAACTTGAAGTCGTTGTCCCTGTGAAAAATGTTTTGTTGTATTGTGTCATTCTTTGATCCTATAAATTCTGATCAAGATTTTTAAGGTACCATTTCTTATATTTTAAAGCTGCAAAAATTTTATGTTAGGCCATGTTTAATAAAAATGAGATGAATTACACAAGCTTAAATGGCATCAGGGACTGTGTTTTATGAAATAAAATGCAAAAGAGAGAAAATGTGACCAGTGTTCATTGTTTTGAGCTGTCAGAGTGTGTTTGAGGTTAATCTGTGGGATCAGGGCTTGAGTGTGCAGATAGAAGCACTGAAAGAATCTCCCATTTTATGAGCAGCTCAGTGGCTGCTTCCCAAGATGTGTTTTTTAGAGGGAGATCAGTAGGAGTGAATCAGCCCAAGAGATCCTTTTGTAGTCTGAATAGATTCTCAGTCAAAAATCTTCTAGCAACCAAGTACCAGCTTGCAATATCCAATGGTAAATGAACTTGCAAACAATGTAAGGATTTTGAAGAAGTTGTGAAAGTAGCTGTTAGTAAGTTCAGGAGGAGCTGGGTTATAAGCACAATTTATGAATGCTCTTCTGGATGAAGTGTTTAACATTGCTGCTTTGTTACTGTATTGAGTCATGTTACCTGTGGCTCCATGCTCATTGAGATTCTGCTATGGACTGCTTTTCCTGTTCAGCCCCTCCAAATTATCCGTCACGTTCTCCTTGCTAGATGAGATTGGGTTGTGCTTGGAAGAGCAACTACATAAAGGAGTGTCATTCCTTCTTCCTCTCCACAGCTAAAACCAGGCAAATTTTGTCCTTTGCTATTTGTCCTACCTGTAAAGCATGTCAATTGCTTTCACAGTTCCAAACTGCATTGTCCACATCTGTCTCTCTAATTTTGTTCCTAAAAATAAGTTGAGTTCTGGCAATTACACCACTTTGAGCATATTTGCTTCTTCTAAGGAGAGAGCATTTCTTTTACTTAGAAAATGCCATGGAAAGTGGGGTAATGGGTTTGTAATTGTAATTGATATTGATATTTATACTGTAATTCTGACAAGGACATTTATTTGATCTAGAATTCAATATGGAGCGAAAGTTATTTGTCTTATTTAAAGTTTCCTACTGTTCCACTATTTTTTTCTTAAGTTTAGGGAACTGCATGCTCCAAGGATACAAATTAGCCATAAAATCAGTGTAATTAGGTTCCTGGAAATTGCAGTCACATTACAAAAAATACTGTACTGTACAGAGCACAGATTTGAGTTCTGTTTTGTCTTCTAGTAATACAGAATGATTATTCTTTTCTCTCAGTCAGTTTACGTAGCTTCTTTGCAGAGAATATGTTCAATCTATTCAAATGATTCATTTCTCCAAGTCTGTAGGTCTTGCTGTAATTGGTTGTAATTGAACATCAGCACAGTTATTGGCTGGTTTTGACTTTATGGGAAGTAAGAAGTTGTCCTAGTTTGTTCTGTCATTGCAATATTTCTGGTATGACCAAAGCATGTCCAATTCTCTGGTTTTGTAATGGTCAAGGTGAGCAGTGTAGGACAGCAGCAGCTGTTAGGGAATGCACAGAGATAAAATTGCAACTGCACAAAGGCATGTTCTTCATACTTGCTGGTGAAAGATGTGTTCTGTCAGTGCTGAGCTCCACGAGGTGTGCATTAGGAAGGGACCCTTTATTTCCTCTCTTGTCTGACTTTCTATGTCATCTTGAAATTACAGTTCTGCCATTTAACACTAAGAAGTGCTATTGTTAGCATACTGTGCCCGTATGGCAAGCAGGTTGGGAAGCTTCTTATGTTCACTTCTTCCTGTAATTAACTGTGGCATGAGTAACTAGACTTCTCTCCTAGAAGTCAGAGTGTTGGCATTCATTTCATTTGTTGGAAAATACAGCTCTGAGAGTCAAAAGCAGAGTAATTTTTTCTACAAGGATCTTTTGTGGAAAAAAAAGTGCTTTCATTCACGTCTGTTATATTTTTGTATCTTTGTAGCAAACTTTCTTCCTACAATGATTTCTGCACAGCTTTAGCAGACTGCTCCAGATGTTATGTCTTATTTTTAGCCCTACTAAACAAACACCAGAAACAGCAGGTCAGTTTTTAAATCTCTTGATTTGTATATATTAATCCTTGGATGTGTCTGTGTATTATTGTGTATAAGCTTGTTTTCAGTGACCTACTTCTATGCATTTAACAAATAAAAATTTTAAATGGTTGACAGCATTTTTAAGTAGTAAATAATTGAAATGAAATAATTTAGATTAAAATCCAAAGCAATACAGAGGACAGATAGTTGATTAACTTGTTTATCCTTTGCATGTGTAGAAAGCAAATTGTTTATTTGAGTATTTAATAATAGGAAATTATTGGGATTTCTGCTGCCCTCCTTCTCTGCAAAATGAGTGTGGATTTTTCAGAGTTAAGCAGTCTGAAAATAGAGGAAATTTTTTTCCTTGATAACTACATAAGGTATCAGAATGTATCATCTACCAGGGAAAACCATATGCCTAGGATAGCGCATTTGAAACATTCACCTAGAAATAAATGTTTAAATTTTGACCTTCAGGGGTCAGATGTTGCTGTATTGTCCTGGTGTATCAACTATCTTTTCCTGTGTTGACTGGAGCACCAGGCTCAGGGGGTTTGGTGCAGGATCACAGTTTTAAAGACCGCCACATAGGTAAGAGTCATGTTCCCCATGTATGGTAAATTACTTAGCTCTATTGCCAGGTAAGATTTAAGAAGAAAATAATTTTTATGTAAAGCATAGATGTTCAAAGGTGGAATGAGGTTTCAAAACATAGAACATTAAATTATATTCAGGTTAGTCTTAACAGTAAGGAACTTTCTTGGCTGCTTCAGCATCTAAATTAGCTTGAGGACCTTTGGTTATCCTATACAGTTTCTCCCAGGGTTAGTAATTCCTGAAGAACTGTTGAAAGGAGGTCTTCCGTGCTGCTATTGTTAAAGGCAGAAGGTAACCAGATCAGCTACACTGAACAATCTGTTCTCTCTCTTGCCAAATACAAAAATAATTTCTCCCTTTCCTGTTTACCTGCATCCCTGGGTTTGGTGGTAACACTCATGGAAAAGGAGCAAAGATGAAGTTGGTTCTGTTCTTCTAAATGCCCGTTGATTAACATTTCTTCAGTGTATCTGAGTGTTTCTAGGTTCAGGCTGCTCTTGGATTGTATGGTCTTCAAAGACACTTTAGTTAAAAATGCTATGTAAATGCTATGTAAATAATACGAGAAATATCAAAGGTGTGATATTTTACTAGCTTTATAGTTATTTTTCCTTGTGAGTGCTGCATTAAAAACTCAACAAATGATGGACTGGGAATAAACAGCTTAAACTGGATTAAATCTTTCTCTCAATCTTCATCTGTAATTTTAAGGGGAAGTTTACTAGGCCTCTGAGATAACAGTTTTGTGTTACAAATTGTAGGCTCAAACATAAATTCAAATCATTTGTTGCCAGGTAGTGCTGAGAATTTAGCTTCTCATTTGTCTACTTTATTAAGTGATCCTAAAATACATCATTCTTCACTAGATTAGCATTGTTTTTTGTGTTAAACTGTCAGTTGTTTTATCAAAATAGAAGTTAGTAAAGAAATAGCTCGTGTTAAAAAAAACCTTAGTTATTATGTTGTGATGATTATATGTGCAGTCTTCAGAATAATTGTTTCTTGCTGCAGTTTTTAAACAAGCATGCAACTGTCAGTTGTCAGCTTAGTGAAGCCCTGCAGAAACAAGAAGAGGGGCATGGATAATGTAATGCGCCACTTTTTTCTGTAGCATATAATAAACACTACCTGTTGAGGAGTGCAAATGTTTTTCCTGAGGTGTAGTTGGCACTGCTAATCTTTCTTTTAAAATGGTGACAGCTAGTGAGTTATAGCATGAGTTGGGATGTGTTGAAAGGAAAACAAGTAACAGCAGTGTGAGTAAAATTGTCTGCTGGGGAAGAAGCAAAGAGGAGGATAAATCAGTATTATTAACTCAAAGCATTAAAAATCCTCAGGACTAAGAACCAATATGTTAAGAAAGGAAGTCTGTTTTCTGTATTTTCAGGTTGCAGAGTTTATGGGATCAGGCTTTTTTACTAGCAGTCATGGCAGCAGAAATCTAATGGGAAAAAAAAGAAAATGAGCATTCAGACTTTCTCATAAGTGTGACTTTAAAAATAAGCATTAAAGCTTGTGAAAATAAAACTGTGAGCACTGGAAATAGGATTAATGACTTGCTCCCATACCACTCACTAAATTCCGCAGCTGCCACCCAAATAGTGTCTGTTTTTCTCACCACACTGCAGTTTCAGCTCTATTCTTTTTTTTATTTTTATTTTTTTTCTCAGCTCATTTTTCTCTTGGGTAAAAGAGTCAGAAGGGAGAGTAGTAATTTAACTCTGAGAGACTTTTTTGGGGAAATGGAGTTGGCAAGACTTACTAAATTCATGTGTAATTCCTTGGGTAAGGAAGGATTGGAAAAGCTAGATCTGCAAGGTAGGACTTGAGTATTCAGCAGTGCTTGTCTACACATCTGAAGTACGTATTCTGTTGGACTTCACTTGTCAACTTGTGGTTGGTTTTGTGGCTTACATGTGTGGAATAATAAAAAACCCCTTGGTAGTTGCCACATGCTGTGAAACCTGTCAGAGGTGTTCTTGTAAAGCCTCTACCTTGAGGATGAGCTTTGCATGCTTCTGTTTCTAGTCAGCATTGTAGACTTTTGTCCATCTCCAGAAATATTTTAACGAGATGCTGTTCCCCTTTCCCAGTTCATAATCATTTCTAAGCTTTTCAGATAAGCTATATAAAGGATGACTTCCCCAGGCTGTGGTTAATGTTATAAGTCACAAGGAAGCCATGCTTTTGGAGCAGGGAGATTGCCTAAATAGGGCAGTAGCTTCTGACACTACCCAAGCTTAGGTGGCCTTCTGTGGCCCTGCCAGCTTCAGTGTAATCTTTTATCAGTGTACAGTTAGGAATCTGTTTTCAATCCTAAGTGCATAAACACAGGGTATGCTACTAATATTTGCATAGAGGAAATCTTGTCCCTGTTGTATACAAAAGCCCCTTTATTCTTTAGCATAGCCTACTTTTTAATTAGGAAACATTTGTAAATATCTGACAACGCTGGATGCAACAACTGCCTATTCGGCAAAAGAATAATCACATTAGGTCACATGACAGATTCATCTAGCCTACTATTCATACTCAGCAGTGGTGGAAATCAGGTGCCTAAAGAACAGTAAAAACAGAGCAAGCACATGTGGAACTTCTTGTGTGTACTTAACCAAACCTCCAGCTCTTTCCAGTTTGGAAACTTCCTCAGCCAGCTGTAGATATGTGTGTATGCAATGAACCTTGGTTGACTTCCATGAAATTTGACAGTCTCTCCTCTGCCCCAAATAAACTTCTAACATGTTAACCATCCCTTGGCAAGGAGTTGTCATAGCAACTGTCCATTGCACAAATAATTCCTTTTGCTTGTTTTGAATTTGGCCTTTACTATCTTTATTCAATGCCCTCAGGTACTGAAAAATTAGTAAATATTTAATCCCATCATTCACTTCACAGCACCCTTGACTTTCTAGACCTTTATCATATCCTGAGTTATCTCTTTTTCAGGCTGAAGAGCCCTTCCTTAGTTAAGAGTCCTTGCTTCCATAGTACTGTCTGATACAGAGGTTATTCCATACCATCATGCATCTGTGTTGCTTTTCTCAGAACTTTTTGCAGTCTTGATTCCTGTATCTTTATTTTTGAGATGAGGTAACCAGAACATGGCAATTAAGATGTGGCCGTATCATAGATTTACATGCCTTCACAAGTTTATTTCCCAATAATTCCCAGTATTTTATTTGCTTTCTTGATCTCCTGTGAGCATTAAATCCCCATGTAAAATCTGTCATTATCCTGAGATTGCTCTCCAGGAGGTTATGGTTGGTTCAAAGGCTGTAATTTTATAAATGAAGGTATGTCTATTCTGTGTTTTTCCACATGCATCATTTCATGTTTATCTGCATTTAAATTTCATCTGCTGTTTTATTACCAGTTGACTACAAATCCTTTTTCTGCTCTTCATTCAGCCTTCATCTTTGCTGCTTTGAATATCTTAACATCAACAGCAAACTCTCCCATGAAAAATAATTTTTCCTTCTGAGAGCAGACACACCACAAGTGCTTTCATGAAGGAGAATATCATAGAGTCACAGAATGGGTTAAAGCTCATCTAGTTCCAACCCTGTTGCCCTGGGCAGGGGCACTTCCCACTAGACCAGGTTGCTCAAAGCCCCATCCAACCTTGCCTTGAACCCTGCCAGTAATGGGGTAGCCACAGATTCTCTGGGCAACCTGTGCCAGTGTCTCACCACCCTCATACTGAAGAACTTCTTCCTAATATCTAATATAAATCTACCCTCTGTCTGTTTAAAGCCATTCCCCCTTGTCTTATCACTACATGCCCTTGTAGAAAGTCCCTCTTCAGGTTCCTTGTAGGTCCCCTTTAGGTACTGGAAGCTGCTCTAAGGTCTCCCTGGAGCCTTCTCTTTTCCAGGCTGAACAAGCCCAACCTCTCTCAGCCTGTCTTCATAGGAGAGGTGCTCTAGCCATCAGAGCAGCTTAGTGGCCCTCCTCTGGACTTGCTCCAACAGGTCCACGTCCTCCTATGTTCGGGGCCTCAGAGCTGAATGCAGTGCTCCAGGTGGGGTCTCATGAGAGAGGCACAGAGTGGACGAATAACCTCCTTTGACCTTCTGGTCACACTCCTTTTGATGTAGCCCAGGACATGGTTGGCTTTCTGGGTGGTAGACTCACATTGCCGGCTCATGTTGAGCTTCTCGTCAACCAACACCCCCAAGTCCTTCTCCTTAGGACTGTTCTCAGTCCGTTCTCCGCACAGCCTGTATTTGTGCTTGGCCCACCTCTCAAGCATGTCAAGGTCCCTCTGGATGGCATCCCTCCCCTCTAGCATGTCAACTGCACCACACAGCTTGGTGTCATTGGTAAACTTGCTGAGGGTGCCCTTGATCCCAATGTCCATGTCACCGACAAAGATGTTAAACGGTGCTGGTCTCAGGTACCAACCC